ATTCTATAATTTCAATTATCGGTGACCAATCACGAATTTCTAGATATAATCGAAACTTATACTTATTCCCAAAAAAATTAAATTCCTTCGAATATCGATTATCATATTATATTTCTTGAATTAATAAAATCCAAAATATTATATTTCTTCGCAATTATATCATTCTTTTGAATTCTATGATTCTAATATTAGAGAATTACCAGAACCCAAATTTAAAAGAAAATAATAATAATATCGAAATTAGAATTGAATCGGAATATAATAAATATATCAATTTGAAAAATGAAAAGAAGAGAAAATATTAATATAATATAGATATATGAATATGAATTAATCATAAGAAATATATAAGCTTAGAATAAATAAGAATCAAATCAGATATATATGATAAGAGAACGTCACGCGGAGAGTGCGAGCAGGGTTCTAAATATCTCCTAGTCTTCTTTAATTTTATTTCTGTTTCTGAAAATCGGTATTTCTATTTTCTTCTTCTTCATCTTATTCGTTTTAAGAGGCGCCGGACATAATTGCAACGGAGTATGAGGTTTGGAGTTCTTATTATTGTTGTGTAAGTCTCCGTTCTAATTCCTATATTCTGTTCTTTTTCCCCTATATTTCATATCGTATTTTTCCCCGCGCATGTGTCGCAGAAGCTCGTCCGAAAAGGCAGGCATTAGCTTGTCTCGAAGCCCGGCATCCTCCACCAACAGCGAACGCAGACTGTCCTGCAGGCGAATGCGGTTCCGGGCGGTAAAATCACGGGGTTGAGGGTGGACGACACGCAGTCGGTCCCACGCAACCCTTTTCAGGTCATGCCTCGTGCGTTGGCTGCCTTCGGGATGGACTTGTTTCCAAGGAAAGCTCTTCTGGCCGGAGTCTCTTGGGTTCGTAAAAACATAGGTCCTGCGGGATGTTCTTGTGATTCTTCTGGTGCCGTGTTGTTGATTACTGATTGGTTTTTGTGCTTATCGTGAGGGCTTCGGAACATTACGTGATGGTCCTGGATTTCCCGGCTTTCTGCACTGTTTTGATGTTTTGTGTTTGTTCTTTGGGTCTACGTGCTTCCCACGCTTTTTCAGACCCTGCATGCTCGAAAGACTCTGACTGAGCCAAACAGATTTTAACAACGCTTTGACAGGATTCCATGGGCTTTGATGGAACTCAGTGGTGTTGACAAGTTCTTTTTACTTCTCTCCTTCTGCCCTCTTCTCATCTTTTGTTTGCCGTGCATTTCCTTTCTTATGTGGTTCTTGCTCCCCATCTTCCCTTTTGAACATTCCCTCTTGCTTCGTTCCTTCGTTTTGTAGTTATGTCGTCATTTGCTCGCTCTTTATTTGCTTTTGTTCGAGTCTTTCTTTGGCTTCGTTATGTACCTCTTGTTGGTTTCTTCATTGCTCCTTCCTTGTGGCATTCTTTCTTTCGTTCGGTCTGGCTTTCTGGCGTTCTGCCCTTCCGCTGTCTCAGTAACGCCCTCTTTGTTTCTTCTGCTCCTTGCTTCTGGCTGTGTCCTTTCCCTTTGTTGTATTTCTGGTTGCAACCTTTGACCTTATGTCTCTCTTTCCCTACTTCCACTGTCCATCCCTTGGTTTCTTGCTTTCAGCTTTCTTTCCATCTATTTAATTGGTTCTTTCCCTTAGTTTGGCTCTTGGCTTCGCTGTTTCTTTCTGGTCCTCTTTCGTTCTTTCTTCCCTGCAACCATGTCATCCCTCGGCCTTGTTGTTTTTGGTTTGCGCCCTGGCTTTCCCTTTGGTTGCTTCCTTCCTTCCTCTCTTTCCATCCATCCTTCCCCTGCAAGAAACTAACAGAAACAAAATGCAGAATCTTATCATCACATCGGGATCATCAGCATCACCGCATGATGATCTGTCTCGGCATCACCAGCAGCAGCATCACTCTGAGCGCAACTCAGCATCAGGAGCAGCAACGACTAGGCAGTAGTAACAGCTGCTTGGGTCTCGTCAAGATGTCGCAGTACCTCCGTCCTAAAGTCGGCGTCTTCTTTGCTGAAGCTCGTACACCATCGACATCACAACAAACGCCCTCACCCTGACCAAAAGCGCGATAAGTCAATCAGCATAAACATTCTCACCATCGTCATCCTCATGATCTACCCGAACCCAAAGTCACAAACGTCATAAACAAACAACAACAAGAAGATCCATCATGCCTGCCTGTGCTTCATCAATCATTGGATCGGTAGGGACGTCCGTTAGCAGTGTTGCTATGAGTAGTTTTTCTAGTCTGACTGCTTCTCTATCTGCAATTGCGGCCCCGCACCTGCGACCAGCGCAATGTCTGCACACCCTGGGCTTGAAGCGGGCTCAGAATCGAAAGCTCTGGAGTGTAGACTTGAGCTGGGCTAGAAATGATGTAGAAGCACACTTGTCGCTTTAACTTCTGCAATTGTACCACGTGCTACAAGCTGTTACCCGAAGAATTGGGGTCCATGATGAGGACAACGAACAACATAGCAAACTGCAGTCAGAAACACCACCTTTGCCGTCACCGGCATCACCCTCCTCATCATCATCTTCATCATCAGCGGCAGCATGACCAATATGATGGCCGTGAGTTCGCAGACATTCTCTGTGTGGTTGGATCGGCGTATAGTCTACACATACGTTCTATGCCCATGCATGCCTGCATGTACACGGCCGTATAGTATGCACAGTACGTATGTATGTGTTCTTGTATGCATGTACGTAATATGCATGCATGGCAATCCCACAAAGAACGGAGGTTCAAGTAAGACCTGCATTTCACTGAAGAAGTACAGCAAGGCAATGGTTCGGACTCCTATGGATTGAAATTGTGTCCAAGGGGATCGAGCCAGTATCGGAATTTCGGGTGAGCTGTCAAGCCAGAGGCTCGAGACGTAGTGGTGACTGCCCAAGCCTTTGAGGCCCACAAGCAGGCCAAACCCCGAAGACAACTCTGTATTTTCAACCTGAAGACGACACCTAAAATTCGATATCTCTCGGAGATTCGTGCAGTTGCATATCGGGTCATGACACCAATGAATAAAAAATAGACCGTCGTCGTCCCCGAGCCTCACAACCTCGACTCGAAACCTCGAGAAGAGTAAGGAGGACTGCAACTGCACCTCTTCCGCATCTGTCTCATTCTGTGTCGCAGAAGCTAAACAAACGCCGCAAAAAAAGCTCCGCTTTCTTTGGGCGCCTCTTCCTCGTCCACCCGGACCGTCGCCGAAGCCAAGCTCTCGGCCGCGAAGCCGAGGAAGGTGGCCTTGCGGGGCAAAAAAGACTGCCAATCCAGGCGATGAAGATGGAACGCCCCATGTCTACCACGTTCACTGCAAGGTCCTTGGGAGAAGAATTCATTTATGTCCTCTTCTGAACTTGAAATCGACCTTGCGGAAAATCCCCCGATTGCCAGACTAGGTGCTGACTGCAGCATGACATCTGGAAAATATGTTGAACGTCCATGTTATATGAAGCGCCAGAACAAAGCATGCCCATGCAGCTTGCAAGCAAGCGCAGGTCCCGACAACATATAGGTGATTTTCTACACCAAGATCTTGTTGAAGCTCCCTGGGCTAACTGTATTGAAACAATGGCCCGGAAAGACAACATCTGCCTCGCCGATGAGGGCGCCGTCGGACAGCTGAGCCACGGTCTGAGAGTTGACATTGACACTCCTTCGGGTCAAGAGGGTTGGGCGATGGCTTGGATGCTGGACCGTCACATCCTGCAAAGGCTGCATTCTTGAACGTTCCCCCAACCTTTAAGTCTCCAGGCTTCGGACGCTTGAATCCCTACGTTTTGCCCTGTACCCTCAAAGCCCCGAAACCAGAAAACCTGCGTCTGCGGCCGGGTGTCAGGGATCCCGATAGGACCAGCCAGAGGAAGCGGTTCTCGACCCCCTGTGTGGTCAGGCCTGGCTCAAGACACTGCTCAAGACAAAATCAATTCATCTCAGGGTTACTGAGACTCATCGTACGGAAACGACTCTGGCCAGCTTTCACGTTGTGCAGCGAGTGCACCACCGCCACCGCTACCAGCAATTGAACCCGCCACTGCCACCACCACCGCCGCCACAAAAATCACAACCACAACAACAACGACGGCAGCAGTACAAGTAGTGGAAGTAGAGACGAAGTAGCAGTCGTTATTGTTGCAGGGGTAATGGTAGTGGTGACAGTGCCAAGCAAGAAGTAGATTTGCGGCTCATCTACAGGAGCATCAACTCCAACATCTTCAAGAGCAACGAACGAAGCATTTCAAACTAAAAGCAGAGGGCCAAGAACAGGCTAAAGGAGTGGCAGCAGCGGCAGCAGTGGCATCGGCCCCAACATTTGGATACGCCGGGCTGCAGTTACCCTCCGAATAGGTGACGCTGTCGGCCACTTTGAGGAACCGCGGCACCTCGGCCAGGAAGGTTGCAGAAGAGAGTGAGGTTTCTTCGCCACAGGATTCAAGGGCTCCAGGATTCAGCAAGCAGCAAGATCAACATCGGAAGATGCTCTCCGTGCCTCTGCCCGTCCCTGACTACACACACATACAAAGCCAAACTGTACAGAGGCATCGACGCGCTGAAAGCAGGGCTGACACTGAAACCCCAAACCCAAATGCCATCCCTGGATCGCGGAGGAGGACTGGAACCTGAGTCGCTAAACCCATAAACCCGTTACTGCTGCCGCCCCATAAAACTAACCTAAACTCAAAGCATCACAGAGGCCATTTCCTGAACCCTTACATGCCAGGTTGGACCTTGGAACTGACCCGCCTCCGCCATGCCAAGCTGAGGGAAAGCCTTCCGCAGCTGCGCCAGGAGTCTCACGGACTCCTCGGGAGAACGCCGGCCGGCTCCCCGACCACGGACCATCTTTTCAATGAGCTCCTTGGGGCAGTTGAAAAGGTTTAGGGTTTTGGAGTTTGTGATTTCTGATTTATGGTTAACGCGTTTCAGAGCTTTAGAGGGGTCTAGCCTTCAGCCTGGGCCGAGGCCTCAAGAAATCCTTCGCGACCTGTGAACTGCTGCCCATTCGAAGGCTCGATACTTCCAGAGCTCAAGGCGGCCCGCACACCTTACCCTCAGAGCTCAACACTGTGTCGTTTCGGATTGAGACGCAGGGGAAACAGCGATTGAGTTGAGGACGGATTCCACCCTCAAGCGGAACACACTGTCCAGAATGAAACTTCGACCCAACCACCGGGCATGTCTGCCTAGAGTACCTAACTTACCCCACACACCTTAGAGGTTTCAGGGGTTTCCAGGCCTCCGATATGGCGGCCATGACCTTCTCGCCTACGGCAGTCTCCTCCTCGCAGAACTCACGCAGCCGGTCCTTGCGCGAGCTTTGTGCTTCTTTGTGTTTTGAGGTAGGACGAGGTTATGCACGGTGGAGTGCGTGCGTTCGTTCTTTCTTCTTGTGATTTGCTCTTTCTTTCCTTCCTTCTTTCTTTCTTGCACGAGGGTACTCCTTCTTCCGTACTGTGTTCTTTGTAGTTCCATACCTGCTTTATCTTGCGCTCACTTGGATATACAGGTAGCTTTAGGTGTACTACTAAGTAGCGAAGGACGTCTCAAACAGAAGTCTAGATTCCAGATCATCTTGTCAAGGGCGCCGATGAAGTACCAGCCCGAGACATTTACATCCAGAAGAGCTTGCGACACCGAAAGCACTTACGTGAAATTCCAGTCCTGGGACCAACGGAGAGTTCGTGCCCCACCCGTGTTTGCGTAGACTGTGGCTGTCGCGAGCTTGTCCTGCAGCGTGCTGGTCCATCGCTATGGCCGCAACGGCGTGCCCTTCTGCCGGCCTTGGGGTCCAGGAAGGTCACCTCTCCGATGATGGCCTTGCGCTCCAAGGTGGAAGCCACCTGACTCGTCACGACTGTGGGGTACTCGGGCTGTATCGAAATCCTACAGCTCCAACTCTTCCTGGCGAATCTCAGCCTGAGCCCAAAACCCTGCAGACCTCCAGGCCTACAGCGACCTGAGACCTAAACTCTCCAAGCCGTTCTGGGCTGAGCAAACAGACCTGCCTGACCGCTCACCTCCACAACGAGGCTTCCCGAAATGACGAGCCAGATGTAGGGGTTCACCTCCGATGTCCAGAAGGGGGGGTTTATGGGAATCAGAGAAAAGCTGGCCCTGATTGAATTTAAGGATAACGACACCGCGGATAGTAAATTCGGTTTCGGAGTGATCCGCACTCCTTCACATGCTTGACAGTCATTAGCCAGAAACAAACACAATCTTGCTGCATCCTCAACATGAAACCGTACATCATTTCAGCCGGAGATAAGCCCTGAACAGCCAAATGTAGACCCTTTGCCCGAATGTTTTGGCACCCTTGGCCCTATCTTCTGGCCCCTGTAAATCCGAAGCAGAAGTCACTAGCCGCCGTGGCGCCCAGAAGCACCGCTTGAACCGAAAGCAGTCAGCACAGCAACGGTGAGGATTTGAAGAACAGTGGCAACAAAAGCTGTAGTGCAGCAGGAGCGAGCAGTAGTGTCTCTTAGAGAGGTTAATTGAAGTGGAAACCCCTACTGATACCCGAAAGCCCAAAGCCCAAAGCCTCAATCTGAAACACCACATGGTCTCTGCCCCTGGCGCAAGCCTCCCCCTGGTCCGTCAGAACAGAGCGGGGCTTGTAGTAGACCTGCACAGCAGGCTCCCTGAGTGCATTTAGGGGCCAGAAACTGTGAAACCACAGGCCGGCCGTCGCAGTCGCAGCGCTCTCACCACGAAATGACAAAGCCTAGAGGCTTGGAGCTCCTCTCAGTTCTTGGTCTTGCGTTTAAAGGGAGCTGGCCTCCTCTGCTTCTCTCAAGAGCTTCGAGAGCTCTCGCTTCCTCAGCTTCGGTGGGGGCTTCGGGGAGGCTTTGAGCTTGGAGCCTAGAGCCAAGAGCCAAGCAGTCTCTGCCCTGCGAGCGAAGCGAAGGGAGATTTCTTCGTGCAAAGCCCGGCGGCGGCAAGGAAGGAAAGGCCGAGCGAAGCTCTCCGACCAGCCAAGTGTCCTGGCTCTCCCCTCGAAGGCGCTAGCTTGGGGTTTCGGGAGTGGGGATTGCAAGGTTTCGAGTTTAGGGTTTTGGATTCAAACTTAGTCACGGCTCTAGGGACTGTCACGATCCAGCTTCTCGAGCAAATCGAAACCCTACCGAGGCAAAAAATCTGAGACTCCTGTTCGAAACCCTGTCAGAGAAGCCCTGAATTCAGCAGGGCTCCTGAATGGAGAGCGCCTCCTGCCATGCAAACTTGCTCCTCAGGAAAACAGCCGCTGACTGCGCAGCGAAGAGGAACAGGGATCCGACCTGGGACGATCGCAACAGAAGCCGGGAAGCAAACAGCACGGCGAATCTGTTGGCAGTAGTGGGTGGAATTTATTGCGAGGAGTTCACCCCGAATGGTGGTCCTCTCCTTCCCTGCCTCCCGACGAGTGGAACCTAAACAAGGCAAGAGCCCCAGCAGACCCGGTAAGGAGACAAGGAGCAATGGCCGGAACGACGATAAGCTGCACACCCTCGGCAACCCACTGCCAGTCCTCGGATCCGCGAATCTGGCGTTACAGGTTTGGCCGTTGAGCCTGGGAGTCTCAGAAGTTGGGAAGGCAAAGGCCCTGATGTAGAATGCAGGGGGCGTCGCCTCTGCGCTGGGGGAACAAGGACACACGGCCGGGAACTACTGACTTCTGCACCACTTGCCCTTGCACATGGTTAATCAGACCCGGGCTTATAGACTGCCGAAGTTCTGCTAGTGCGTCAAGTCTTGGGAGGTGAAATCAATGAACAGCCACGACCGGAGATCCAGTATTCGCTCTACTACAGCTTCAGGCGTCAGGCCGAGGTTCTCCACCTTAAACCCTAACCCCGAAGATGTCCGGAAAAAGACACCATAAAATAAGAGTCGTCCAAAATTGTTGGCCATGGCCGTGGCATTGACGAGCGGCCCTAACGGGAGGCAGCCGCGGGAGGGCCTGGTCCACCGCCAGGCAAGCGAAGGCCCCGGCAGGGGCGAAGAGGCTCCTCACAGACCGAGCATAGGCATGAAGGCATGTAGAAGGAGGGTAGGTCAGCTGTGGCTGAATTGATTTGCAGAGCACTCCACCTAAGCAGTCGAACCCTCGAAAGGATGGAGCCTCCGCAAAAACCGAGCTAGAGCCCCCAATTTATGAACCCATGTGTTGGGGTGAATTTGGTCCTGCCAAAGACATCATAAAGACAAGGCACCGTGTGGAGCGCATCCAAAGTAGGGAGCCGCTCGCTGCTGCTGCCCGGGTTATTGCAGGCTGGTCGCCACCGAAGCTGTAGATGGCCAGCATGGCCTATCACGTGCACTATGAGTGCTCGAAGCATCTGTAGCGTTTACGATGATCTTACTTCTTTGTCGCCTGCACATCTTGTCATGAGCACCACACAGCTGCCGAGCTGATTCCCTTCAAACAGAAGAAAATGTAGAATGTACCCGGTCCCCGCAGCGCCATGTATCGTAAACTTTAAGTTGAAAAGCTGCTTGTGTTGATGTCTCACGTGTTTCTTCTGTCATGTAGTCTGGGAGTCACTCGGCGCCATCGACGTAAGACTGTGCTTCAACAACCTTCTGTGCACGCTCGTCAAATAACCGGTTGATCAGATAATTATCTCATGAGTTTGTCCTTGCATGGCGGATTTGATACAGCCAGCGTATGCCAGAGAGGATCTCCATTCTGTGGTCTTTTGTACATCTCAGATCTACTGCGTGCTCATTCCCCCGGTAGATTGCAATCGAACTCAGGTTCGACGATTTCATCTTCAGGCCATGGATCGGTGTTAAGCTAGGTGCCTGTACAACTGTCTTGCAAGCAACTGTGAGGCAGAACTGCTGGTTGACGTGTAAGTATTGGCGCATGCACAGGTGGGTCGTCGATACTCAGCGGAAGGGTAACTCAACGCAAGGGTTGAGTGCTCTGGGTACTAAAAGAGGTCTCAGGACGCGGGACCCGAAAAGTCGCAACTGAAATGCAGCAGCCTGGACATCCCAGTCGCTGAACCGAAAAAGGTCCCTAAGCTCAAGCAGTCAGAACTTGTGCTGTATTGATGAGCCGGGATGCGCAGAAAGCGCAGCCAACGCAGGCCACCAGCACAGTTCGTACAGCCTCCGTGTCACCTCAAGCACGTGTAAACGGGCTGATGCATCGATGTCAGCAAATGGAACTTACATCTATAATCATCTATACATCGAGAAAAGAGTATTGCATAGGAACAAAGAAGATACAAGCAGAGTGCGGTGGCCAAACTTCTAGAAGGCCGCATGTGAATATCCGGTCTATGAGTCTATGCCAGTGCATTCAGGCGCTGATCGCCCCGCGCCGGCCCTGGAGTCCGGGGCCAAAGAGAAGCACGACCACGGAGCCTTGGTGAACTGAGCTTCGTTTAGGGTTTGGGCTTTAGAGAGGCTTGGAAGGGCTGTGACTGCAAGGCTTTCGAGTGACTGAGGATTTCAAAGTTGCAGGCCTCAAAATGTGCGATGAAGGTAGGTATAGTAGGATTAAAGATTCCTTAAATGAGGACTCTCACTTGAGAAGAGGGCCACGAAAGCTAGGGGAGAGGAAGCGTAGCTGCGAGCAATTGGCGCTGAGTAAGGCGGGGGACGCATGTGACATGAGAGTACTGTCGAACACGAGGCCGAGGCGACAAGGTATGTTCGGTTCAGTCTCGCAGTTGGACGACACTGCGAAGGACCAAAAAAAACTGGAGCCAAGACGCAGCGCAAACGACAAACTTCAAACACAAGCAAACTCAGGGACCTTGTGGAAGGGGGGGGGGGGACCTGTGGGTAGGGGGGGGGGGCCCCCCCCCCACCTTGCCCTAGTGCCTTAATACAAGGTAGACCAAGTGAAAATTGCTAAAGGGCAACTCCCGCCAGCTCAACAGAGCTAGCTTTCGTGATTTTCGGGTTACCCCCCCTACCTTCATCCCACCCTAGGAGACCTTTGACAAAGATGTCGTGGGATTGGTGCTTAGATTGGAGCTTGAGTCCAACAAAGATCGCTGCACCCCCGCGCCCCGAAACCCAAACCTTGAACTCCAAAGCCTGAGCCCTCTGCAAGGAGCCTAGGGGTGGAGCCCACAGCGTCAGCGGCGTGCCAGAAAACCCGCGGAAGCTCGAGGCAATGGCATCGAACTGACCTGGAGTTTTTCAGAGAATGAGTTTAGGGCACGAGGGTCAATTTTGGGATTGTGGCTGTCCATCCCGGGAATGCGTGGCTGTGTCAGTTTGATTTTCGTCTATTTTCAAAAATCAACAGCTTCCAGCTGTGCATTTCGGGTTGGGCGGAAGGCCCCCACACCCTGGATCAGTTGAGCAGAGCACGTGGTATCGAAGACGAAAACACCAAGCGAACAGTCCGACAAAAGGAGTCAAATCCTGTCCAGCACCGCTGTCCAGGAAATATCGCGAACCGCAACTCCTGACCGTATGCGATAACTGAACGTTCTTCAAACTCCCGCCAATAAAAATCGACAGAAAACCTTGACAGTTGGAGTCTTCAAACTTAGGTTGTGTTTCATCATCATTTCCTGGATCAAATGCCAAAGCTGAGTTCGCTACCCAACACGTAGATTGCCAGGGCCACGCCGACGGCACCTCAGTCTTATTGCTTGGGAGTCCAGGTATCCCTGGAAGATTTGAGAAATGAAGACTCCCATGTGGGTGCGAAGTCTGCCGGTTTGATCATGGAAAACATGACTTGTTAATCGTTCCGGGCAGCGGCGGATCCTTATCAGACTCCCTGCTACTCTCCCCATGCACTCACTTGTTGTAGAGGCTAAGGCCCCCGCTCGTGATCAGCTCGTAGCTTTCAGGAACGGGCACGTCAACAGTGAGCTCCTCCAATTTGTGAGTGGTTATTCGTGTGGAGACCTATGGCAGCATTTGCGGTTGAAGGTCTCCCTTGGTGTAACTAGGCCTTTTGTGAGAGACGCTGGCATATCACATTCGGCCACAGGCAATTTCAGGCGCCCTGAACCTTGCAGCTCTCATAGCTACGACTCTCGTTCTCAACACCATGACTCGGTTCTGCTGTTGTTTCTACGCCTACGGCTCTTTCTGCCGCTTCTTTCTGCTGTTTGGCTTCCGGCCGGGCCTGGAAGGGGAGGTAGTTGCGACCTCGGTTCTCTTTGGATGCTGCGCTTGCAGGTCTTGCACGTGATGCTTTGAAACTTTGAAGTTGCCTGTGTTGACTCTGGAATTACTCAGCCTGTCGACTGTGATCCGGCAGGTGGAAGAGAGTGAAAGCATGTGAAAGCAATAGGGCTGGGTGCTTCGCTGCACTTGGCGCAAATCTTGTGCCCGATCACCAGAGATGTCGATATCTGCAATACCAAAACATGCAAGTCTCCTTCAAAGCAACCCGAGAGGATCCCAAGCTCGGGATAACTGATCATATCTGTCATACCAGACGAACCCAGCATCTGTATGAAACGTTATCAAGCTTGGCAAAGGCAGTGAAACTTGCCGCAGATCATATGCATGCATGCATGCATACATGCATACATGCATACGCCATACGCACTTGAGTTGCAAGAGCATTACAAGCTCTTGTGTTGCAATACCAGGTGCTCGGCTACAGTAGGTCGTGCAGAGCACGCATCAGCCCCGACTCTTTTGCATCCGAAGCCCCGGACTCCAGCAACAGCCGGAACCTACCATAGAAGAACTGACGGTAGCGGAGAACCCCAGCATGAAACCTTCAATGAAAGCTCCCCAGCTGCCGAATCCCCAAGGCCACGGCGAACCCAGCCAAACCACCTCGTTCGACAATGGAGGCTGTAGGGCATACGGTTCTTGGAATAAGACATGGACCTACACTCCGCCGAAAGCTCAGGACTCCTGGTGGGGATTCCACCTCGACTCGGCACTCCCCACTCTTACCAACTCCCCAACTCCAAAAAAACAAACTTCAAAGCCCAAAGAGACCAACAGTTCGCAACGGTGGGCCAAGAACCCCAGGCAGGCCGACAAAGCACTGCATCACTCTTTCCGGCCCGGCCGCTCTTCGAAGCTGATCCGCTGGGGGCCGTTGCCAGGGCAAAGGTCCTCTGGACTTCGGGGAGCATGGGGGGGGGTTCGGAACTCTTTGCTTTGATTCAGGGCAAGGCCTTCTCAAATCTCTGAGAAACACCACATGGCCGGCTACAGCTCCGTAAACCATCCGGCGGAGCATAGGTCTCCAAGCCCCAAACTGCCCGAAGTCCTGCCAGTACCCATCGAGCTCCTCGCATTGTCGTTCGAAGAGTTCCCACAATCCCCCAGGCCGTTTTGCAAAAGCTCATAAAAAGATCTTCTCTAGACTTGCTTGAAGCGTGCGCGACGATGTGTGCATCGACGAACTACCTGGCTGCGCGCGCACAGGCACGAAACCTTTCTTTTCAGCATTTCGAAGCCTGGAGATCCTTTCATGTGAGCACTACGCCAACTCTTCCTCGAAGCTAACTAACCCACCCGAACCGGCAGAATATAGCATGAATCTAGAACCCAGAAGATCGACTAGAGATGCGACCGCGTCCTTGGGCGAGAGCTCCACCTGACCCGCTCCAGGGCAGGGTTTGGGCTTGGGCAGCTTGGCGTCTGGGGATTCCGTGAGTGGAAAATATTAATTGCCCCCTCCACCAAAAACTGACAAAATCGAACTGCCGCAGCCGAATCCATCTTGAACCCTACTGCAGCGAGTAACTGAGTAGCAAATAAAGGCATGTTTCAGAAACCAAAGGCCCTAAGCAGAAAATATCCTGCAAGCAACTGCTGGTGAGAAAAAACACAACTGCGCAATAAGCCGCTGCCCTGGTGCCCTGTCCAAGATGTCAACTTTTGATTCCAACGGATCGGCCTGCAGGGTGCGCTCCACAAGCTGAGTGAACTCCTGGCAAGCACCGCTTTCACCACACCGCGACTGCTGCGCCTGCTGCTCCCACCACCACTGTTAGTTGCCAGTGTTACAATCCGCTTTCGGCAGCAGCATCCACAACAACGACAACGGCAGCGGCAGCGGCGCAGCGGGCAGTGGCGGCAGCAGCGGTAGCAGCAAGGAGAACAAGAAGAGGCACACCGCCGAGGCGGTCGTCACCAGAAATACCACCGCCATCAGCATCACCGTCCACGGTCAACATCATCATTGTCATCACATCACCATCGTTTGTCACTTCGTCATCATCAGCAGCATCAGCATCATCATCCGCAGCAGCAGCAGCAGCAGCAGCAGCAGCAGCAGCAGCAGCAGCAGCAGCAGCAGCATCCGCAGCATCCGCAGCGGCGGCAGCAGCATCCCCAAACCTAGCATCCCCTTGCACCACTGTTGTTGCTGTTGGCATGTAATTACATTCTACCTCGTTGGCGCCACCCCTCACCACCTGCATCACCAATGTGTATGTTCCTCATCATCCCCACCATCTTTCTTATTACCGTCAGCATCAGCAGCCTCATCACAACCAGAGTCATCATCGTCATCTGTCGCTTCCTCGGCGTTCTCATCCTTATCGAATGCTGTTGTCGTCGAATTCATGCCCAACTGCTACTCTGATCAATTGGGGAACATCCAACAAGACGCTGACGCTGTCCGGCTTTACTTTTCTGCACGACAAGGTGAGACCAGAGGTTGCAAAACGAAACTCCATCCACGCTGCCCGCCCTGCCCACGCAGCAAGGGCGGTCTGGAAAAGAATGAATGGAGTTGCTTGAGACATTATCAGCACTCCGAGCTGAAAAGGAGAAGGCTCGGAGCCAAATCAACTGCGGACGGTGGCCTAGGTGCTTCTGAATGTGCCGAAATGCCATGAGCAAGTTGTGATTGAGCCACCCTCCTGCGACAATCTCGCGGACGGCAGCGCATGCAGGCCCCATGCCTGGAACCACCACGCCGAAAGGCGTGTGGGTCCAAACCTACACATATCTCAGCAAGGGCGGCTCGTGCACGGAGCTGTTCGATTGAAGCTTGCATCGCTTGGAATCGCCTGTCTGTGCAGGACCACGCTCGTCGCCCATCCCAAACCCTGAAGGCCTCGACCAATCCTGTTGCAGCCCGGACCCCAGTTGGGCAGGATGTGAAGTGCACGAGCTACTGCACTACTCTGCCAGAACATGAAAGGTGTGCATGCACAAGAGAACGCTCAGAAACGGTGCCGGCTGAAGTGTCGTGAGCCCCTGAAGATCCAAAGTGGTCTGCTGTGCGTTCGAGACTCAATCAGAGATAAGCCCAAAGTGCTCACCCACCTCGGCTTGTGCTGAGCTCAGAAAGCTGGGGACAGGAACACCGCAAACATAAGGCAGTATACTCGGCAATGTTTCTTCTCTGCCGAGCATTAACTATTGACCAAGCCGACTGTATGATGCGCTACTGCTACTGCTAGTGCTCCTGCTCGTACCACCCGAGCCAAGGACATCCCCTCTATCTACAACCAAAACGAAATGTTTGTAGTTCATTACAATCGTCGGGGACTTCGCCCTGCTTGAGTCCCAATGTGGCTTCGCCTCGAAGTTTAATCTCTTCGGTTTGGGTTGGGGTTCCAGGTATTGGACTTGAAGGCTTCTGGTCTGAGAGTTTCGGCTATGGGAGTTCAGGGGGATCTGAAGCTCCTTAGTGGACGCACTAGCGAAACATGCCGAGAGCCTAAACCCTTGTGTTTCTCCAAGTCACGCCAAAGTTGCCGGAGTCTCGCACTGTGAAGTAGAAGACATGATCCTTCTTACAGTATCAGAGGCTGAGGGTTGAAGGGCTGGAGGCTTTGAGTTTAGAGTTGTCGCATGTTCTGCTGCTTGCAGCCGCCGAGGGCTTTTCAGTGACTCTCTCGCAACTCAATCGCAACTTTAACCTGAGGTTGTGGGAGTTGGTGCTCAATGTTCGAGTTCAACAGAGATGGAAATTGTGGACTCTTGAAGCTCTCGGCAGTCTTTCCAAGGCACCACCGAAACAAAAGCCGACAGTGGTTTAGGTGACACGCTGCCATCCCAACGGAACAAGGAGCTCGAGTGATAGATCCCGAAGCCGCATATCCTGAGACGGCACTAGCTAGATGCTGTGTGCTTCCTCACCTGTGAGTTGTTGTAACTAGCAGGAAACCCAGCTCCCTCCACCCATCCATCAGCAAAGTATGGCGTGACAGAGGGCGAGAATGACACTTAACACCCTGATCCCCAGAAGTCGGTCCGGCCCCCGGCTGCTCGCATCCACGGTGAGATCCCATTTCAGGAAGTTGCTGTAATATTTACCTGCGAGTCGACTCCATGGACGGATGGCTGCTGCTGGAAAAACCAGCAGCATTGCAGAATGCTACACAAAAACGCCCAAACTTCGACAGGGTCTGGAGGGCATGCTGGCTTGAGCTGTGCTTCAGACCTAGGATCTTGCAGAGGCTTTGCGTAGCCGCTACTGACAAGGCTGAAGGCCGGGCCCAAGGTGCGAAAGGAGCTAATGCCGGAGAAAGCGGTGCAGGCAGCCATCGGCTTGCCCGACAGGGTGCTCGCCTGGGGGGTCGCCCGGTGGCTTTCGGAGCTTTTTCTGGTTTTGGATGGGAACCAAAGGCTCAAAGCCCGAAACATGCAGATTTGCCAGAATGTCGCATGGTTCACTGGGAAATCATCCTGGAAATACTTGTGATCTTCTGCCTGCACGGTTCTTCGGTTGAGCTTGAAGGATGTGACCTTCGTAGCTACGGAGCACGCTTGATTCCAAAAGTCACCTGTGTCTGTCTACACGTCAGATGTCGCAAATTAAAAACAGTCCGCCCGCGTTCAAGAGCACGGCGCTTCATTCATCCAGAACCTTCCATGCAGCCTTTGCCCACGAACTGCGACACCCCCACCCCTGCAAGACATACGAAAGCTACATAACCCACGACCATGCCTGGGGAGAACTCCAGCCCGTCTCCCCAAGCCAGAGAAGGTGTGAGGAACTGCCCGACAGCGACCTGGCTGTGCCAGCTTAACAGCTTAACACCCTTCAGCTCTCAGCGCTGGGCTTCGCTTCCAGGGCAGCGGCACTAAGCCGTGGGCCATCAGCAACACTAGAACCCGGAAGAGGAACTCTGAGCCTCAGACCCAGAAAGCCTGCCCAGAAGCCCAGAGTGCCGCAGAGGCACAGCATCCTTTCGCGCATGTCTTTGACCATCGCTGGCAATCTGCATGTGGGGTCGCTGAAGCAGGTTGAGGTCGACAGTGCCTGAACACTTGGGAAAGTCAGGCGCCAGTGGGTCCTAAGGCCCTAAGGTTGAGGATTCTATTGCTAAAGGCCTGTTTTCGGGTTCGACACTCCTGCATGAATGATCCGCCAAGAGGCGTGAAGCCTTGGGAATTGGTGGTAACACCGAACTTGACATGTTCAAGTCCCGAGCCCTGTAAATGCGGTGCAGACGGCAAAGACAAGCCTTCAACGAGCTTCAGGCTTCAGGCGTTGGGCCTGTGTGCACTTGGTAGAGGAGCCAGGATCCAGCGCATTGTTCGGGTCGAAGTACCTTTGCCAGCGAAGCCCTGCCTAAGCGCAGCCAGACTGCCGATTGGCTGAGCCCCAAAGTCAAATCAACCCAGAAACCCGCAATCCGACGCCTTACAGCGGCCCCAGTCCTAAAGCGCCGGGCCACGGGTAGATGTTCAAAGTAAAGACCCAGCGCTTGCCTTGACGAAGAACTTGGGGTTTGGGGGCTTCGGTCAGAGAGCCAGAGGGGCTTTCGTTCTTCCTTTACTCTCTTTCTTGTTCTACCAGGCGTTTCCGCTCCTTGGGGCACCGAAAACCTGTCGAGGATGCGAGGGGCTGACAGTTAAAGCTTGCCGACCAGAAGCCGTGGCCTGGCCCGTCAACGTTCGCCGGCCAGCAACGAGAAACAGACAAGATACATCAAGGCAACTTCCAATCAAGGGCGGCACGTTTTTGGACCTAACGGTCGAGGCACCAAACTTGGCCACAGCGTCCCGGTACAGCGTCTGGACAGTCGCGTTGACATTTTCTACGAAGGGCTGGCCGGCGAAGATGGCAGCGCCGAAGACGGATGTCCTTGTTTATGTGGTCTTGAAAGACATGACACGGCTAGCCGATGTTCCACACTAACCACCATCGGGCCACTTTCCGGCGCTCCACGACGCTCAATGTATCCAGAGTTTTCGTCAAATCACAAGGTTGCACTTGACGCAGCAGCACTTGACGCAGCACTGCCAGGTGTCACCTAGACCCCTTGATCTGACAGGATGCAGTGCTGAAGCCTGAAGCTTGAAATCCGCAAGGTCAGGGCCGGTCAGGGTTTCTCGACCGGTGCCCCTCCTGAACCCTCGAGCTTCTTCGAGGAATTGAGAAGCTCGCAACCCCCGTGCACGATCTGCTGAAGCCGGGGAACAGCGGCACGTCTGAGAAGCCGGCCTCAAAAAAGATGCACGCTACAGATCCGGAGGGAAGATTCTGGATGGCTTTTGTACTTGGGACTATGCGGCTATGTATTTCTGGCAGCGCAACTTTTCGAAGCTTAGCAAGGTAACGCAAACCCTACAGGTCTAACTTCACTCACAAGCAAATCTCTTCGTCTTTACCAAGGTCGCTTCACTGTGACGCGCACCCAATTGGAACCGATGTATCCAACCCCTGAGCGTTAACCCATTATCATTATCACTACTCGTTGCCCCATTCGCTGAAGCCCCAAGCCCCTAGAGCCCGACCGCCCCGAACGACGCTGTTGTAGTGCCGAGGAACCATCGCATCCAGATCCGCAGCTCTCCTTTCGGAAGAAGCGGCTCGTGAAGTTTCCGATGCAACATCTACGGTACAGGGTCTTAGAAGCTTACGGTGTTTTGCAAGGCTTCCAAAGGCCTCGGGTGCTAAGAAGATCAATGCTCCGAGACAAACCCATGTTTGCTGAGTCTCTGCGTGAGCTTGCGCCAGAATTCACCGCCGCCCCAGAGCCTCAGGGCATGAATGCACTCCTACACCTCGAAATCCTAGCCTTCAACACCCCGAAACTACCCCTTCCAGGTAGCCCAAGTACCGTCAGCAGCAAATGTGCATTGACGTTAGGGTCGCGGCAGAATCCGACATTCTTACTGAGACTGCAGAGCCCTTTTGGGTTGTTCTGTTTGGAGCGCAACCCAGGCTTTTGGTGAAGAGTTCCGCTATTTGGTTGGGAGGTCTGTGTCTCTCGGTTCCCGAACGCTCTTTTGACTCAGGTCCTACGATGAAGAACCTCCCTTCCGCCAAAGCCCCACTACACCCCCCATGTCGGCAACTTCGACCACTACCCGCTCCCTGGCAAGAACCGCTCGGGAAATAAGACCAGCGACCGGCGGATGCAGCTCTGCGTGGCGTAGTCCCTTGCAGGCTTGCAAGTAGCGCTGCTGTGGGTGTTGCTGGGAAGCCCTTTCAAGTCAAGGCTTGCAATCTTCAGCCTTCACGCGAAGCCGACGCTGCAAGGTGAGACACTCGACCCCGAACCCCGCCATGAATCTGTGGCCAAAGCACTTCTGATAGAGAAGCTCTAACTCGTTCCCCACAGCGACCTTGGCAGCCATGACGGCTGCGCGGGTGCCAGCTCTAAATCCGCGATGGAGTGCACGGAGTTCGAAGCATCGTGCGCGGGGTTAATGTTCACGGTTTAGGATTCAATACTCATGAACCTAATGAATTTACTGCCATACGTCCGTCGTAACTGTATCTTCTCCTCCAGACGTTTTTTTGCCGGGCAGGATCCAGCAAGCAGGCCATAATGCCTCATCCGACTTGTCAACGTCTAACAACACGACCAGACCCTCACGGACTTGGAGTTTGGTTTCGACTGGGCGGTTCTGACGATCCGAATCTCGCGACCGAGCCACTCCCATGACATGGTCGCGGCCCAGCTTCTGCAAAAGCTCCTCTGCGGTTGAGGGATTATTTTCCAATGTCGGAACGAGGATTTACGGCAATCTCGCAGAATCTGGCACAAGGCTCATAACCCGAAGACAATCGAAACGGAGACATTACACAATGTCGGCTCTCAGACTTGAACCTGTCTGTCGAAATGATCATGTGGAGCCGTATGCCCCTTGGTAAGCAATCCGAAGCCTTTACTCTCCAAATCCTGCAGCCCAACGCGGCAAGCCGCTTCTCGCAGACGGCAACGAGTTTGCTTCTCACGAAATGTGCATGGGCCTTTCTGGGTGGGCATGGGCGCCGTGACTCTGCAGCTAAAAGTTTCCGCCAACTCTGAAACGTGTGATCCTACTATGAAACACACTACCAAATGCCTGCACCCCTGATGGCCAAGACTCCACATGTGGCTGGCATACCCTGTACTTCGAGGACCACCAACAGTCTCAACAGACCTTGTCAAACCCTCAACCCAAAGCCCGCGACCGTCAGACCCGTAGGAGCAGTCCCCATATCCTTGACCAAGCGCCAGTCTCTGTCGTCATCCGCCTCGTCGCAGGTGATCTGCGTTCCCATGAGGACCTGGCAAGAATGAGTGTAAGACTTCTTGGCTTGATGTGTTTGATTTTGGGGATTCATAATGGTTTCGAGTCTTGGGGCTAAGGCATTTAGGGCTAGGGCTTATGTGGCTGTTGCACGACGCAAGCACTCAGGGTCATGGGTTTTCGGCTTGCATCCCCAACAGGGGCTTACTCTGACGAGGATCTTGGGACGGAACAGCGTGCCCTTGGACCGAGACGAGATTCGACCCAGCATCCACATTCCAGGAGCTTCGGCTCAAGATCCCAAAAACCTGCCAATACAGGCCCTGGGGCAACATATACTGCGGCCCCGAAGCCTGAAACCCGGAAGCCCATCTCTGAACCGAACCCGAAACCCCGAGTACAAGGAAGCAAAACCCAAACCGAATGCAAGGTGACGGTACTTAGTATAGATTAATTTTCGGAGCGCCAGAGCCTTGATGCCGTTGGCTTTCACAACATCCAGCAGCTGCGCCCAAGCCTCTTCCCGAGCGCCATCAGGCCAGGCCTCTCCCAGAGGCTATAGGACTTTAGGGTTGAGAACTTGGACTTTCTTGGTGCGTTTCAACGGCTTTCCGCAGGGTTCAAGGGCTTTGGCTGCAGGATTTCGGGTTTGAGGGTTGGGGGGTTTAAGTTCTTGCAGATTTGAAGAGCGTAGAGCATGGGGGGTTCAGGATTCTGGACGTGTGCGTGTACCTTCTGGGTTTAAGACCGCAGGATGAAAAGTTTAGAACGTAGGGAGGGTGGATCAGAGCCTAAGGCACAGAGTTCCTTGTACTCGGTAGCTTGCAGGGTCTTTCGATCTACAGCTGAGGCTTGAGGATGCAGAGCCAGGAGGAAACTTGCCGCAAACCTGGCTCCTGTAAGTGGCCTTCATCATGGGAATGGAGTTTTGCGGTGTATTCAAGCATTACTTCTATGGGAAGTAGAAGGGTAAACCATCACAAAGTTGTTCGACAAGACAAATAGGTGCGGGAACGCAGCCATGTCCCAAGCTTTGAAGAGCCGGATGGACGTCAGCTTTTCCTGCGGAGACGCTTTGCGGGATTTCGGTGGGAAATCTGTTTCTTCAGGTCTAGCCCGCTTCTGGAGTTTGCGAGGGCTTAGGTTTGAGATTGCCGTTTGACTTGCCCCACCCTGAACACTGAAACTCGAGCTTCACCAAGCATGACACCTCGAAGAAATCAGACGTTTGCGCGATATCTTGCTCGCCGACCTGCGATGTGCTCGCCAACCAACAAGCCTGAAGAGTTATTGATAACACTATTTTGGGGGTTCCTGATCTGTTTTTTCAGATAGAGACCCCTAATAAACACTCTGCAGCTCGACAGGATCCAGAAAGCCAAGAGCCTGTCCTGCGTGTTGGGCCAAACTCCTTGGCTGCCGTCTTTATTGATGTTTCAAGGCGTCAGGTTGTGAGATTCATTGAGAAGTCGTAGCAAAGGCGTGAGAGCCTTTTGAGCTCAGGCTCAGGGTCTGAATGAAACCGACTCCCCCACTAAAACTCCCTCGAAGCACCATCCTCGCCCAACTCGAGCCGACTGCAGCGCCAGGAGTCTTGGGATGCCACCAGAACATTTCTGAAAGGTTGTGTCGTCTATAGCCAGGCCTTGACCGGTGCTGGTGATTGGCTGGTTCTCCGTTTCCGCTTGGACATCATCGCCATGGCCACAGCTGTTGCTTTGTGCTCGAGGCGCTCTCTGCCACTCCGACACATAATCCGGCTTCTGCTTCAAGTTCCTTCCGTTTTGTTCCATGTTCGCCTGCTTCTGTTAGGTCTGGCTCGGCATCTTACTGCGATGCTGTATGGATGTTGTCCTCACTGACGACTGCGAGAGGTCAACGAACTGACAGAGAGAGGGAGCGTCAGGTATATACGGGGGGACGTTTCTCCAAATACGGGTTTCGTTTTGGATCCCGACAACCAAACATAGCAGTCTTGCTCATTAGGGCGTGCTGTATTGTTCGGGCTAAGTTGTGGTTTGCGGGTTCAAACTGGAGGCCCCTCGTCTAGAAGCTGGCCGCATGTCTGAAGCTCCATGCTTGTGGTGGCAAGTCATGAAGTTGCACCACTGCAGCAAGCAGAAGCAGGAATCAGGGTTCCCTTCTAGACAGACTCTGGCAGGGACCCCCCTTCGCAGCCCTATGATCTATGATGTCTCGATTTCCCGGCCTTTGTGATCTGCTTTAACCACGTGCGACAGGAAGAGATCGCTGTCGCACTTGTAAGGCTCCGCCTTAGCTAAGGACCAAAATAGCAGGTGAACGAGGAAGATGTCGGAAACTTCTCGACAGGCATCCATTTGTTCTACCTGCTACCCTCCAAGCCCAAAATCTCGTTAATCTCAGAAGCTGGAATCCTCGAAACTCTGCCACGCTACGAAGGGAGTGGGCCCGTTCCCGGCACCATCCCCGGCGAGGGCGATGGCCACAGACGCTCCGATGGCAGACAGAAGTGCGGCCGCGCACGCACAGAAGGCCTGGAGTGTGGCCAGTCGAGTCCGGTGATACGTACGTAAGTTTGGGATTCACACAGTCTAGGTGGAGGTCGGGTTGTGGCTCTAAGGTTGCCGGAGATGAAAGGCATCGGGCATCTCCCCCAAACTGCTCCAAAGTAATTCAAAGCCTGGACTGCTGCACTCCGTTGCAATCGGCCGCAATTTGGAACTCCAGAACTTCCTGGCCTGAAAGCCAAGGACACTCCTAGAGACGCTTTCGCTGCCCAAGAGGCGCCACACTGGCAGACTCCCCGCCGGCCCTCGGAGGTTAGGATCCGAGAGACATGGGGCCAAAGCAAAGCACCTGGCGCTTTCTCTGAGGCTCCCACCGAAGTTGGTCTCTGCGGCGAAGGCAAAGGCTGCTGTTGGCGCATGGCGGGCAATGCAATGCGCAATGGCCGGAGGGTTCCGGGAGATGAGTGAGGGGTCGCCAAAAGCTGTCTGCTGTATCGGCAGTTGCTTCTGTTGACGAGGGCTTGGTGCTCGGAGGCTTCGTAAGTGGAGAGACACCACGGGCTGACCACGTTCGGGCCGATCACACGCCAAAGACGAAGCTCAACCAAATCAGCACTGAGGGTTATAAGGGCTCTCGTCGTCTTATCGTCACCGCGTTTACTATTTCCATTGTCAACAAGCACCCGCGTACATCACCACCACCACCGCACCAGCAAAACCGCATCCACACCAGCACCACCACCACCACCACCACCACCACCACCACCACCACCACCTCCACCACCATCATCATCATCATCATCATTACTGTTGCGCCGTCAGGACAGACGGCAACAAGGTCAACCAATGCTACCATGTTGGCACAGCCAATCTGGCGAATGACATGAATTACTATGACCATTGCAATGCCATCACGACTGAATTGAATTGATCGTCAGTTTGACGCGGGTTGCTCCTCATCTTGATCTCCAGACTCGAACGTCAGCACATACATCATGTCAGTCTGAAAACCAAAGTCATCCGGAGCAGCCCCGCGACGACGTCATCTTCTTCCACGTCACCATCATCAACCCAACCCCCACAACGCAACTTCGCAGCTCAGCGTTTAGGCTTCAAACTCAGGACAGCCCTAGATTGGCCTCCCTCTCGATGACGCCATTGTTGGACCGGTCGGCCAGCCGGAACACGGCTAGGCTGCGCTCGACCTGTACTTGCTCGGTAACCTTGGAATCAGGCCTTCTACACCTCAGATGGAAAAACAGACACAAAGCCATGACCTGCAGCACAGTTGCGAGTAAAGCAAGGGATTGAACCATCAGCCAACTCGGCTTCGTAGCCTCGTCTTCACTGCAGCCATACTGGGCGCTAAGGCGGCGAATGACCGAGGGGCTCTGGGCTCCTGCGAAGCGAGACGTGTGGATCTTCTTGTCTCGAACTGCACTGCAAGGCTAGATCAGCATCTGCTTGGGCTCAGATTCAATGCAGCCCAACGGACACCAGAACATGCAGCAGCTCTACAACGCATGAAGCAAGTCTGACAAACGCACTAGCGACAGCATTCTTGAGCTTCAAACCCTGAATCGTCAGGGATGCTCAAGGTTCAGTGGTTCTTGCAGGGAGCCGGCTCAGGGGCTTCGGGGTTTGAACGGTTTGGGATACAGACGCCCAGAGAAACAAAACCTCGCAGCCCCCGAATTAGACCACGCAACTCCTCATTCAGTCTTGTCACAGGAGATTACCATGGCGTAGGATGTGGGGTACAGGGTGTTCGGCTTGGGTTTGGAACCAGTTGGGAGTTGCAGTTGGTTTGCTGGCATGGGCGAGCTATGGAGCTCGGAACTCCAAAAGATCTTTAAAGGCCCGGAAGCCCAATGCCCTCTGAACCCCGAAGCCCCCCTTCTGTCGCCTTTGGAGGAAGATGAGCGCAGAATCTGCCTGCGCATGCTCTCTACGAAGGGTACTATCCACTCCAAGCATCAAGCTCTGGGCTCGAGTTCGAGGGAGCCTTGGCCAAGACCCCTTGAAGTGCTGAGGCACCGAGGAGATATCGCTATATAAGTTCAGCACCATATATCTCAAGCTTGATTCGACACTCCAAGAGCGTCCACGTCGTCTTTCCGGTAGGGTGACAGAATCCCGCACAACTCAGTCGGTGCTTGCACGGCCAAACCTGACAGACATGTACAACTTCAATGCGCCATCCACAAAGCAAGGCAGGCGTTGAGGCTCGACATTCTCGCATCCGAGCTTGCAATGGCCGTGTTTGGGCCTTTCTTAGGATGCGAGCCATGACAAACATGATGACAGGCATAAGTACAACAAAGACCAAGTGGGAGAGTCTGCACCAAAGTTGGAAGTTGCTCCAGATGGCTCAGGGTCTTTGTGTGGGACGAGAACTTGCCGAAAAAGCGCAATTCGGCGACCTGTTTTCACAGCGTCTTCAACAGGAGGTATGAGACTGGTCTTTTTAAAGGGTTGTAGGGAGATGCCCCACCGTGAAGGAAGCAGCTCATCTGAGCTGGATCATGAGCTGCAAAACAAAACGTCCAATGAAACATGTAGCTGCATGTAGCTGTAGCTTGGTTTTCCAGGGCTGCCTTCAACCCTAGGCTTAGGCACTGATGGAAGTGGTTGATGATTGAATCATTCAAGGCTTCTGGCTGGAACTGTCTGGGGCCTACAGGAAGCACAAGGGCTTGGATGCTTTCGGCAGTGCTTTGACGAACTACTCGACTGTGTGAAGCAAAAGCAAATTCCTTCTCGTCAGGGGCATGCCCTTACAACCTTTCAGATGGAATATGAGACTTATTCGCACGCAGCACGCGGATTTGGATGGCACCTACATCTTCGCCTACAGTTGCTCAGACTGATCCAATGGCCAACATCCGAGCGGATCAGGACCTTGATGTCAGAGCTGATTGTGTTGAGGCTTTTGACGCATTTGGGGGCATCAGAGATCTTGCCGGGATTTTGGAGACTCGGATTGTGGTATTGAGGAGTGAGTATGTTAGGGGTTCCCCAGCAGTGTGAGTGTTGATCTCAGAAGCTCCAATCCTAGCCGCGCTCCGCATGCGACAGCCTCAGTCGCAGGGATCCTGAACTGAGCCGAAGCTGTCATCAGGGGCACCCTGCAGAGGCATTGCAGAGTTGAAAGTTGCGCAGTGTAAAAAATTCCTTCATACCAGAACCATGACACCAAAAAACCAAGCAACACCCAACATCGATGATCTCAAGCAAAAGGAACCGATTGAGACTTCTGCCAGCAAGATTTAGCGAGCAGCATCTTTGAGTCTCACTGCTCTGACATTTGAGATTATTTCAAGGATCCGACCGGTGGCAGCAACAGACAAGGGAACTCTGCATCAGAACTTTGGGATAAGATGATCTCGCTCCTGCCGAAGCTCTCTAACCTAATGGTACAAGGGCCTTATGAGCTGGAACAGGGTTTTGAGTTTTGACAGCTTTGGCTGTCTTGTTATAGTGTACAGTATGGCTACCTGAACGAACCCTGAGGCTCTACTAGTCTAGGATGTGCTGCAGAGGTTGCGAGCAGTAGGTGACGATCGCTTCTGGATTGGGACTGCGACGTACTTGAACATGTTGCGTGGCACCGTTCGAAGATTGCCCCCCACAGCCAGATAAGGCGTGGGGAGCACAGTAAAAGCTTTGGCTGGCAGGAAAAGTCCGTATGAGATTATTTCGAGCATGCAGGTGGTGCATGTTGATGCAAATGCTGCGGCTTTCATGTACACGGAAACGCTTGCAGCAGCAATTGCTCACTCATCATTCTTTAAACCCGACATGCGGTCGATCTCCACACGGCCTCAGCCGTGGTCCGTGTCTCACCACAGTGAGACGCTGATCTCCTTGGTCACCACGGCACAGAAGAAGCCGCTCTGGAAGTTGGCCTGCCATGGGTCGAATCCGCGCTTGTGGAATCTAGCCGGTTGAGGTCTGAAGGCCGCGGCCTCGGCCCTCGGTCGATTTCATTAGAACACCGCCTTTTTCAACTTTTGGCCATGGCCTTGACTGGATGGGACTTGTGAGTTGCAGGGAAGCCACCCACCCGAAACACCCAACGAACAGCTAAAACCCCTTCATCAAATTGCAGAGGCAAGGCTCCCCTTCCCGAACCTGCGGAGCAGACATGCCACAAAGCAGATTAGGTCAGTGCCGCAGCCCCCATTCCGAACGTAAGAACCCCGACCCCGCGCCTGCGCTGTCAGATCGAAAAGACCATCCAAGCACACCTCCGCGAAGCCCACAACACCTGGCACAAACTCACGGGCATCACAGGACGCAATCTCAGGCTCCCGGTAACGCCCTTCGGAGATGTCAGAGATCGGAAACACAGAAAACATCCAAAGATGCGCTTCTCGCGCGTACAACTGACGACGACTGCTGCTACCTGGCACCTCCCGCATCACAAAGCCAAACAGCATTCGCACCTTCCGGGGCTGAGACCACGAAGTGCAAGCGCAAGGTGTTCAAGTCCACTGTCAAGGTCAGGCCTGAGGGTCGCTCGAAATCCTGATGCATTGGAATTCGGGCTCATCCGAAACGTCCAAGGCACCACAGCCCTCGACACAGATGTCTGGAAGTTTCGGACACCCTCAGAAAACTCAGGAGGTCCTGTTTGGGTGTGGGTCTGAAGGCTGGAGTCCCTGTGCCAGCACAGGGGCGAAGCATTGCGTTTGGTTCTGGTCAGGTGCTGTCGGAGCCACGGAACGCAAACCCCAATGCTCCGGGGAGGGCTTCTGGGGCTACCGCAAAGGAGAAGTCCAGTGGTTGAGGTCCATCTATCTTTCGATTATCTTAAACCCTTCCCTCAATCCGCCCTTGTGTTTTGTTAGCAATCTCAAAGTCTCTGCTGACTGCGTTGGATCTTGCTGTGCAGCAATATTTGGTCTGCAGACTTCAGGGATGTTCAAGGTCTTGAATCCTGAATCTGTCAGCGCCGATGCACATTTCTTCACAGACGTTGCGTTGTGCCTTCGAAAATTCAACACAGCAGAAACTGATGCACTGCGGCTGATGATGATGATGATGGTGCTGTTGGTGCTGATGGTGATGGTGATGGTGGCGGTGGTTCAAGGCTGAATCCTCTTCCTGTGAAACTCGAAGACCTGACAGCCCGACATGCCCTCTGCCTTTCGTTTTATCTTCCGCTTGATCTGCACCGAGCCGCAAAGCCCCACCTCCAAAGGTGGCAGTTGTGCCTGGCAGTAATGGAAGGAGTGGCAGTCGTAGTAGTAGTAGTAGTAGTAGTAGTAGTAGTAGTAGTAGTAGTAGTAGTAGTAGTAGTAGTAGTAGAGGGGTGGTGGCAGCAGCATCAGTAGCAGTAGCATCAGTGCGTCCTAAAATTATGGAGAAGTTCCTTCGGAAAACGCGGGCTGCTGCGGTCAGAACTCCAGGACTTCCTGATCGAATGCTGCCAACCCGAATCAGCTGCACCTTCAGCTTGCGCACATTCTGACGGTCGCGAATGCAGATGACCTAGGTCTTTCTTCTGTCCCGGGTGAGAGGCTGCAGCTACAGGTGCTGATCTGATCTGCTCCCCGAAAGTTGGAGTGTTGGCTCTTTGATTGGACGTACCCTGCAAGGATCTGCAAAGCTTCGAGGCCCCCAAGCCTAACATGGCTCACGAACGGTCAGTGTACGGATGCGAGATATTGAATCCCGGACAAGCTACACACCTAGTGCCCTACCCATCTCCCAGCAACCAAACACCTGCACACGAGCCCGCAATCCTGGCACTCGCGACAGTGCATGCATCGGTGCATGCATGCATGCATACAAAGATGATTACGTAGGAAGTCAACAGCAACATACGTGAAGTATTTCAAACGACGTGATCACATGCTGGTGCTGACATTGTGCGACGTGTTGTGGTCATCCCCAGCTTGGCCAACATCTCGTGTTGTCGCTAATGCTGCCTCTGCTGGTGCTGCAGCCAGTGCTGCTCGTACCAATGCTTCTTCTGCTGCTGCTGCTACTACTACTAGTGCGACTGCTGCTATTACTGCTTGCACTGCTACTACAGCTATCGCTGCCACTGCTGCTGCGGCCACGACCACTACCACTGCCACTGCCACCGCCATCGCCACTGCCACTGCCACTGCCACCGCCACCGCTACCGCTACCACCACCACCACCACCACCACCACCACTACTACTACCAACAATGCTACCCGCACTGCTACCGCCAATACTACCACCACTACCACCACCACCCCGACTACTACTGCTGCTGCAACTGCTACTACGACCACTACGACTCGGACTACTACAAAATACTACGATGATAATGACGACGACTACTGCTACTGTCATCATCCTCACCATCGCTGCGGCCTAGTCGAAGTACTGGCCGCGGTGGTCGTTGTTGAATGTGTCACGTGTCGTAGATTTCGGTGGCAACGCTGCTGCTTATCTAACCCGGAAAGCATAAGCCATAAGCCCAGAGACGCAGAAAATGCCGGAGCATGAGGCTCGGGCCCCTCGTTGATTCAGAAAGACCGTGCGCATCTGTTGGATATTGTTGCCTGGGACACTCGAGAATCACATCAATGGCTCTCACCAGAAACAGCACTAGCGCCCATTCAAAACATACAACATGCCCGGAACAAGATTAATGGGTGAAGTCGTGGTACGAGACCTCGGCACCCGACCAAGTACAACATCAGCAGATATGGAGTCAAGCTTGGACTTTCCTGTGGTTTTGGGCTGGCGGGTGATCTACACCGATTTGTTGTATAGGTTGGAATTTGTATCTGTAGGGAGTGTGTCAAACTTGAGGCTTGGGCGACCTCAATCACCCATGGACCTGGACTCGTGAAGCCTGATCTCTGAGCAAGACGCCGTCTACGACGCCAGTCTCCGGCAACTCCCCGAGCCCTAAACCCCAGACGGGCTCAACAACGTTGAGGCTCTGCTTCCTTGCGGCTGTGGAACCTGAAACTAGAAGCTTGACTAATGCCCCCCACAATCCCACAAACAAAGGACAAACTGAAAGGAACTTCCATGACCTTCTGCAGCGGAGTCGCGGCGAACTTTCGAATCGAATACGAAGCCTCCGTGGAGCGCTGAGGGTTTCGGCTGGAGGTCGGGTGAATTGTAGGCTTTGAAGTCTTGACGACAGCTTTTGAACCACGCTCCAGAGCTTTCCTAGGACAACTTTGCATCTGATTCTCCAGCATTAGCTGAGGTTCGGGGGGTTAGGCTTGATGGGTGCGGGAGCTGGGAGATTCAGGACGCTTCGCCCAAACACTGCACGCCAGACAACCCAGACCTGGTGAACGAAGACTGGACGCGAGAAGTCTCCAGACATACCCCAAGAGCTCGAAACCCAACCAACACTCCAAACCTCTTTTCGCCAGAAAATGTCCTTCTTACGAACACTTGGGGTACCACCCGGTTGCCTGCTCCATCCGCCGCACCCAGCTCCCCGGAGAGAATGGTGTATTGGTAGGTGTGCACGCCTCTGACAAACCGCCGTGATTAAGAGGCCTAAAGCGCCTACAGGTTTAGGACGACTTCGGCTAGAAGCTCCACTGGGATCTTCGGTAAGTCGGGCGTCGAGAAGCTTTTGGGTTGAAATGGGCTTGAGGCTACAGTTGGGAGTTGGGGGCTTGGAGATCGCGAGGCGAGCGTCTACGGCGTTTAAGTTTAAACACAACGGGAAGAGAACCGCTCAACTCTGAAACACAAAACTTTACCGGCCGATGGGGTGAGAGAACTGATTCATTAATACCATAATCCGCAGCAGCATCACTGACGTCACAATCGAGTCTTCGGGAGTTTCCTGACAAGACTGCACTGCTAAACCCGATGCCTACCTGACCTCTGCACTTCCTCGCCTCGGCATCTGAGCGTCGAGTCGAAGACCATGCCTTAGTATTAGTGTTGTCTGCAGAAGTAAATCAAGGACTCCGCATGTTGAAGATCTCTAAGAGCAGCCGGGAAGCAGATCGAGCTGAGCTCCATCGGCATTCCGCGATCGTTGATCACGACCTTTCTACGAGACGTCATCAGCCCTACTGGAGCTGCAAGGGAGGCTTGCAGTTTATCTTACTGTATGCTTTTCAAAGCCGTTTTCGGTTCAGGATTGCCGAATGAGGTCGCCTTCAGCGCTGTTCGTATCTGTGGCTGGGTTTTCGAAGGACCCCATCTTCCAAGCTCAACGCATGTAGTGAATCTCTGAAGTCTATGTTGGACAAGCTTCCTAGGTCCATGCTATACCACCCACGGCAACACGGGAGCTCAATGAACTTTTGAAGTCATGGCCCCGTTCCCAGATCTTCGCCAGGATCCTGCAAGCGAATCCTCCTGAGCAACCTAACGTCCACAGCTTAACGACAACTACCGACCACTATTCGTCGCTGTCCACTGACACCCCAAACGGTAAACTCCAAGCCCAAGTCCTAAACCGCGCAGCCACCTAGGACCCAGCCTTTTGGCCACTCGCCGACTTGGTGAACACGTGACCGTCTGTCGAGATCGATCCCACCTCGCAATCTTCGTGCAATGCGTATCATGTGAAATCTTTGCTACAAACATACACATAAATGCATAAAGACGTACAGACATGCGAGCGCATGCACATTTGCACATACGCCCACATTAATATGCCCACACGCATGCATGCAGGAATGCATGCATGCAGGCAGACATACATACATACGTGCATACACATGCTCTCAAAATGCAAAGAAATTCACATTCCAACTAATGTGCGTGCGCACGCAGATATGCCAAGGTAGCCATGTTGTTTAGATTTAGATATGCAGGTATGCGCAGGCAGTGTGTCCTTTATGTTTGTGTGGGCTTTGGAGGCCCAATGCATTCATGCATGCATGCATGTATCGTGTCGCTTGCTTCACTGTGTGGAGGCTCGCAGGGCTTGGTTGCAGAAGCTTCGGGCTTGGGAATTCGAATTTCCGATTCAGAGTAGGCAATTTGGGGCTTCTTTTCTGGAGCCTGGCTGACACATTTCAACAAACTGTCATGCACGGCTTACGAGGTCCTCAGCCTTTTATGAAGCACCGCCATCCTGACCATGGCAATTGCCGAAATAATGCGAATGGGAGCAGTAGCAGCAGCAGTAGCAGCGGCGACAGCAGCAGCAGCAGCAGCACTGGCAGTCGTAGTAGAAGTTGCAACAGCAGCGCCAGCATTGGCAGCCGTAGCAGCGTAGGATTGAGATTTCTTCCCTACTGGTAAAACGACAGCATGGCACTATTCAGACACGCAGCTTTCGTGGGACTTCAGGCAAGGCACTGTGCTTGCTGACTTGTGCCAACGGCACGTCGAGTGCACGACACTTGCATTCGGTGTGGCGGCGTGTTCCCGCTCCTCGGAGCACACGGGACAAAGTGCCCAGCAAATCCCCAGAAGCGGCAACCAGAAACGGAGTAGGACTCGAGACTCCATAGTCAATTCTGACTCTGGCTATGTCATGACGATGAAGTCACAGCCTGCTTTCCAACTCCAAGTCCCCTAACCACGCACATCAACGATAAGATCCACAGGTAAAGGAAGTCAAATCTACAGACAGTAGACGCTTTCATGCCAAAGGTCTTCCCCAGAAGGGAACCCACATGCGGGCTTGTAATTAAGAAGATGCTGCCGAAGGCTTACGTTTTAACTGGTTACTAGCATGGTGCTTCCGGCTGTGCATGTCGAAGATTGCGTAGCAGCAGTAGCAGCAGCAGCATCCCGGCATTTCGATCACCGGTCGACTGAGAACATGGCCGAATTTGTGTTTGCAGCTTGTGGAAAAGGTCTCTGATCCTTCGTAGCAGTGTGGAGTTCAAGATGTTTGTAAATGGCTCAGAAGGCTTCGTTGAAACACAGCATGGCGTTTCGGATTCTTCTGGGAAAAAGTCTCGAGTCTAGGGCTTGCCTTCGGGACTCGCGCCCAAACTGCTTTCTGGGCATGGGTTTGCGTTTGGGGTCATGGCATTGTGATTTGGGTCCTGGGGAGCTGCCGCGTTTTCGGGTTGAAATGAGAGGCGATGGTCTTGGTCGTGCGGGCTGCGGGTTTCAGATGTTGGATCGGTCTACAAGGGTCAATGTGCCACAACACTGCAGCCATACCCAGACCTCTCGAAAGAAGAAACTCCACCAACGTGCATGCTTGTGAGAAGGCATCAATCCGTCAAAATGTGCGACCGACCTAAGAACTGCACAGGTAGGTACACGTGAGTATGAAGGCATGCAGCAGGGTGGGAGCTAGCTGCTTTCTAGCTCGGTCGCTAGCTAGCCAGGTAAGCATGTAGGATTGCAGGTCAATGTAGGTACAGATGCACGCAAGCGAGCGTGTAAAAACAGATAACCATGATAGACACAGATGGAGGAGCGAAAGAGAGAATGAGATCAGAGCGCGACAGCTGGACAAACGAACAGAGGACGGAAAGACCGTTGGGCAGGCAGACGATTACAGAGACAGATAGACAGTCAGGATGGCCACATGGAGGAACCGGCGCATCCGAACTGTCGAATGTGCTTGAAGGATACTTAATCTGCGGCTTCTTCGAGCGGGGTCACTGCCGCATTTGTTGTTCTGCTTTCTTGTTGCTGTGCATGTTCTTCTCGGTCCCGTTCCTGCGGTTGCTATGACCACGGTTGGGCGTGCCTGCGTCTCCCTCGAGTCGCAGAAATGCCTAGAGAGCCCCAGAACGTGCAGAATCTAAGCTTTGAGGCTACGGAGATCACTCAAGCCTCTCTTATTTCAAGGTCCTGCTGCCACTGCGCTTCACTGCGCCAGGAGCCATGGGCCTGAAGAAAGTTCAGTGGAGGTGTGGTGTTTACAGTCTTGAAAGGCAAAAAAACTCCACAAGTTGAAAGCGACAGGCCTGCACGGAGGATCCTTCAGAGGTCGTATCTCGATCGCTTCCGTCCTGCAAGGCCGAAGCCAACATGCTCAGTGTTCTTTTTGGGGGTCCTGGTGGGGACCTCGACGTAAGTCACGGAAGAACACACAGCCCAACAAGCAACCCCAACAGAAACCGAAAACCGCCATGCCCGCGAGAGCGCAGGTTACGCAAGCCGGGCTTCCGGGCGGTGGCCAGGCGTGCAAGACCGAACCACTATGCCAGCCGACTTGAAAACATTTCCTAAGACCCCGCAGCCCCAGATTTGAAGGGTTAGCCGGCTGCCTCTGGCTGTTGTCGAGGCCAGGGCCCAGGCTCTCACCTTTCCGTCCCCCAGTCGACGCGGCCGGCATTCGGGAAACTGTTGAAAGACGCAATATTCAAAGCGACGTCCAACACCCTGGAAGAACCAGGCGCCATCGGTCCCCCAAAGCCAAAGCCACTTCAGCCGTGCAAGCTAAGATAAATGAATTTCGAAACTTGGTATTTCCCAGAAATTTCTCTGAAAGAGCCAGCTCGGTCCTCTGTGCTCCCACAATCGTCAGCGGCCCAGTAGGCTGTGCCTACCCTGCCCTGTGAGAGCGAAGGGGTGTCGAAGATCTTGGGGTCCACAGCGACCTCGTAGAGCACTTTGCACCCAGGTCGAAAATAAATGACTTTGAGGGCAGGTGGCAATCGGAGGGCACGCAAGGGTCCGGCTGCACGTTTTGGAGTTCGCCCACGGAGAGTTAGTTCACCAGCAAGAACAACACATGCTTGGGAGACTTCACAAATGCCCCATCTGTTGATTCGTCGGGTGTGTTAACTGTGCGTTGTTAGGGTGCAGCCACAGTTAGCGTCCGGAAACTCGCGGCAACAACTCTTTGTGGTGCTCTCCAGGACAAGCCGATGCAAAACACGTGGTCTGAGGCCTGCACCTTCCAAGGCTCGCTATTGATGTGCGTTGGCGATGAGAGCCCGGGCGGCGGCTGGCAGGCGCTCTGCCCGCGTGTGCACATCACGAAGGCTGGCTCGGAGTACATCTTCCTGGGAGGCGAGGGCGACGGGCGCTTGGGCATCGCGAAGCGCACGCACGCGCGTAAACTCTATGCGAGAAGTGTAGAAGCCAAACCTACAAGCATGCGCACACGGAGAGACTCACACAGTGGTGTGGTGTCGGCGGTCGTTGCGGTGACGACTGTTGATGATGATGGAGGAGGAAGGCACCAAAGGAGCGGGACAACGATGAGCAGGAGGATGGTGGATATGACGCAGCAGGCGCAGACCAATTGCTTGAAAACCCTGAAGGGCTTTGGGCGCTGGGTGCTCACTCCTAAAGCTTCTTCGGACATCATCGAACAAGATGCGAAGCAATGATCCTATGCCTGCTGAAGCCCATGAAAGCCTCAACCCTAAAGCTGCATCCAAATTTTTTTCTGCCCTGAGCCTGAAGGCCAGGACCCAAAGCTTGGATCTTCGGAAATCCCGAAACAACGCGCCTTGCCTGCGTTGCGCTCTGGCCCAGGGATCTCGGCTGGTCAAGGTCGCGCTGCAAGCCAAAACGGCTGAAGTTCACCGGTTACGGCGTGATTCCTGTGATTCGTGGAGCCCGGGAGCCAAGAATCAACATGCGTCGAGAGCCAATTTCCATTCACATGCCAGGCCTGATCTCGGTTGACCGATTCGTGGACTTTATGACAACAACTACTACTACTACTACTACTACTACTACTACTACTACTACTACTACTACTACTACTACTACTACTACTACTACTACTACTACTACTACTACTACTACTACTACTACTACTACTACTACTACTACTACTACTACTACTACTACTACTACTACTACTACTACTACTACTACTACTACTACTACTACTACTACTACGACTACTACTACTACTACTACTACTACTACTACTACTACTACTACTACTACTACTACTACTACTACTACTACTACTACTACTACTACTACTACTACTACTACTACTACTACTACTACTACTACTACTACTACTACTACTACTACTTACTACTACTTCTTCTACTACTACTACAATAGAACAACCATCACGGTGGTGATGATGACATTGACATGCACGCACCAATAATCGCAAGAAGTACTCCAAGCTCAGCCGAATCCAAGGCCATAGCGACGGCAATCCGAACAGAGTCACCATGCTGGCGATGTGCTGTCCATGATGATTCTGCTGACGCAGATGACAACGATGAGCAGGAGGAGGATGACAGTGATGACGCTGATCATGATCATGATGGTGGTGGGAGTTTAAAGGGAACGGTGATGCTTCGTGTTTCAAGCCTGCAATTCGCAAAAGCATGCATTCCTTCGAGCCTGGTGCCCCCAGACACCCCGGCAGCACAGCCGACGGCTGCAGAAGTGCCAAAGAGGACGCGGTTCGAGGCGCCTCGAACCTGCTCACTTCACTGAGGCCTTCGGTTGGGGGGTGGAGGCGTCGAAAGCACTGCAACCCTGGAGAATCGTCGTTTCTTGGTGCCACATGCTGTCACATGTTGAAGTCTTCCAGCTATCCGAATCCTGTCGGCAAAGCTTCACACTCGCAGTTCAACTTCAATAAGAGAAGGTTGAGCTGGTGAGTGTGAGAAGCTGCATTCAGAGCCCCAGCATTCTATGTCCACCTCCTTCGGTTGCCGAACAGAGGTCGGTCGCTGCGTCCTTCACTTGAAGATGATGGCTTTGCACGCTTCTTGGATCTTACACATCGGAAACTGGCCACAACTTGCTCCGGAAAAAACCTAGAGCTCAGAGCTTCGCAAGACGATGATCTTTGAAGCCAGGTGATTGCAGCCTTCGGACCTGGGGATCTGCGAGTCCGGGGCCGGCCCAGAGCCCGTAAGAATCGGCTGCGCCGCTGCGCTGTTGCTCGCTGCGTTCATGAATCGCAAAACCGGGCGGGGTCGAAGTTCGAAGCTCCGGGCCGTCCTGTGAGGTCGAAGAGCCTGGGCCTGGGCGGAGGAGTTCGACGCTGGACGCACTGCCAAAAAGAAGCTCCCGGAGAGGGCTCAACCGCACCGAGAGTTCTTCTTAGTTGAGGGATTGGAGGCCTTCGGGGACACGTTGAACAGATTATTTTCGGTAGCCCCCTCACGGCGAGCCCGCTTGCTTCATACTCACATGCTCGGATCGCTTTTGATGGGACACATAATACCATTAATGGGGGCACATTCGGGCCAAAATCTGCATCCTACTGTCGCACCACAAATGATACATGCACGAACTCTGGACACCAAGCACACGAACACGTGCTCTTAGCGTCACGGCACAGCGTGGCTATGCATGTACACCAAAATAACATGCCCCAAAACCGCAAGCCTTGCTAGTAAGAACACACACTTGACATCCGGAAAAACCTAAAGGCGTCCAACAGTTCATATCCTGTCTCGCTGCGGTGGTTTCCACAGAGAATGAAGCAGATTGCCTCCTAAAAGTGAGTCATTCCTCCAGGAAAGGGTTCCTTTCCGAAACTGAGCCCTTGGCGGGCCCGTCGCGCGGCCATGCGCAAATTTCACATGCCATGATCTGCTTGGGAATTCACAAAAAAAAACTTTGCTCTGAGCTTGGCAGGGTGGAAAAAGGGTGGCGGCAGGGAAAGGAGAGTGTTTGGGGAGGGGTGGGAGGGGTGTTGCGATGTCGTCTTGCACTTACCCGGAACATGGCATCCGGCCTCCCGACACTCCGAACCTCAAAGCTGCGCAGGAAGCGGCTAGCCGGCATCAGCCCGTCGGCTTCGGAGCTCGAAGTAGTGTGAAGTTGCGAGACTTCCGGATTCGCAGCGCAACTGCTGGCGAGGAATGATTTCTCCCGGCTTCGCGCTGGATCCCTCGTCCTTCTGCACTTCCAGCTCGCCGCCCAAGCAATGCTATGTACAACACTGGAGACAGCCGGTAACGGTCCTTTGTGCCGGACTCAGAGGTAGCCATCTGCATACCTCCACCTTCGGGCCGCGTGGCATCCTCTAGACATGAAATGTTCGTTCGTCACATGATACACCGGATGCGTACGGAATTTTTGGAGTCCCTGAAGCCGGTTCAGGACATGTTTGAAGCCAAGAGATTTGTGCTACATGCAGGCTCAAAGCTATGGAGCTCGTTTGCCCTTTCACCTCGTATGATCAGAAGACGCATTGTTGCGATGAACGACTCATATACAGAGGAGGCAATGGCAAGGGGAGCCACTGCTTGCTGTTTCTTGAGGGTTCTAAGTATTTCGGCACTAGCCTAACATCAATGAACTCGGGCCCAAGATGTACAGTTTCGAGTCTGAGGGCCCGAGGGAAATGCAGACATATGGTAGGGGTTGATACACCCTCTCGCCATCCCGGCCGTGCGATTGCTGCGAGTCCGCTACACAGCAAACTGCACCGCTTGAGGATCTGAAGCCGCACGCGTTCTGTAACCCCTGGCAGGCTCCAATAAACCCTTCACCGCACCGCTCCGTGCCTGGACATCAGGTCATAGTAGCTGCACCGATTTACAGGAAGACCTCCAAGCAGAGAACACCCTAACATGCAGCGCTCTGGGCTTGTGGCTGAGGTTGAGGACCGACAACAGCTTGTAGATGCTTCCGGAATCAGGCAGCCTTACAGAAACCTTCAACCTCCGCTACCAAGAGGCAGTGTATCTGCAGCCAGTTCCGACCAGATGTTGAATCAAGACATGGCTGACCTGCGCACCCAAGTGCGATACTTGCACACGACCTCGGAATCTCAAAGCCTGAGTCCAAAAAAACAAACTGAAACCACTCGTCAAACAGCCCTAAGTCAACGGAGTGGAGGGCTCCCGTCTCCCCCACTTTCATCTTCGGAGCCTTCCTTCTTCAGGCAGCGGTTCTCTGCCTGGGGGTGGGAGTTTTAGGGGGCGGGTAGCCCAGAAAACAGTCGGGTTGACGCCGTTGCTGTCGGACTCTTAGAGTTCCAGGGTCAAGGATTCAGGGTTTAGCAGGGCCTTTCAGGGACTAAGCTACGAGACCTCTCAGAAAGCCATCCTTTGAAAAAAAGGATGAGCGCAAAGTCGCCACGCAACGAATGGACCCGACTGCGCACAAGTGGAAGTGCCACACTGTTCCCCGAGGGTTTAACACAGATGCCGAAGCCCAGTTTAACATCAGGGGGCCCCCACCCCACAAGGCAAAGCCACGATATTGAGCCAAACCCTTCGACATGATCCGAGACAGGAAGACTGTGAGGGTCTCGGGATGTCTCGGGTTTCGGGCTCCTGGTCGGGGTGTACGGCAGTGTACGGTACAAGGGCCACTGTGGTGATAACGCTCGGAGACGGAATGAAGCAGGATCCGCAGAAGGGGCTGACTGTCGCCTTGGGGGATCCATTTCTGAGGAGCCAGGCCATGCACAGCCAGAGCATCAGCTCCCGTCGGCTGGACACCTTCAGAGACTGGACACTGGACATGTCAGCCTTCCAGTGACCCTCAAACCCGCAAAAAAGACACCGACATCTTGCCTACAAGCACTATGCTACTAGGAACGTGCGCTGTGCGCCAGCAGAAGGTTTCCTTCTTCCGTGTTTGCACCTGGTTTACAAGCGAGTGCAACAGGGAATATCTGCGCGACTGTGAACAAACATGCCCGAGTCACGTGTGTGTAAGCAGATCATAACCCCATGCCATATACCAGCAGATGGAAGACCAGCATGTTGAATCCGTCTCGTTGGCTTGAAGTTGTTCCGTCTGCTGATGTTGCTTCGTTTACTCAAGTTTTGTCCTCCTCTTGCCGAGCGGCTGGGGGAGGTCCGGACTTCAGAGCGGTCTTGTAGCCCTCGGCCTCGGCTTGTAAGGCTTAGCCCCAAGGATCCACGAGCCTGAAAAACGGGAAACCGAAGCCCTGTTCGCCGAAACCCAAAATTCCAGGTTTCTACGTAGGCTGGTGCTGAGCCGAGGTGCATAGGGACCGTGGCGGCACAAGTCCTGCGCTCCGTGAAAGGTGTCTGACTGCCTCTCCAACTCTCTATTCATCGACCCGTCGATTCGATCGATGCGCGTATCTTCGGACCGTCAATGTATAGGGCCAGCTAACGGTATACGGGTATACGCTACACGTCCCTCAACTATGACATGAGGTGTGCGAAAAATGTGAACTGCTGAACCGATAGATGCACTTATCTGGTTATTGCCTGATTTGTTTCTGCAAGATGTCATGGCTGTGCATATACAAGAGCCTGCTTATCCCGTAATCCCGTAGATGAGATACAAGTCAATGGCACTACGGAATGGCTGGATTCCAAGTTCTCCGTCCACAGACTGATCAGATAGACTGTGACGAAGATAAAGCCGCTCACCCGCAAAATACGTCCTAGCTTGAATAGCCCAAAAAGGTGACCACATGATGCCCAAGCTTTCTGGACCCACTGTCAGTGCCCTCCTGAAACTTGCCGAAGAAAGTTTCCAGCGATTCCTGGCACAGGGAGGAAGGCTTCCATCGCGTCCTGGATGTCTTAAGGCGTTGGCTTCGCGCTCAAAGCTGAGGCTCTGCCCCCTGGCGAGGTGGGCCTTTCGGACTCGTGCGTCACTGGCTGAGAGTTTGTGAACGAGATCAACTGACTCAAGAGATACTGCTCTCGCTACTTTATGCCAGGACTTTACCTGATGACTTACCCGCAGCATTCCCGGACACTCCGGCGTCTCGCCTTCTCGTCCTTGTTGGGAACTTCGGGTGCGTAGGCAGCCGTGGTCCACAGGAGCAGCCACCTCGGGCATTCGGACACGAAGGTGCAAGATTCAGGCTCCACTGGTCTCAGCACGTGGCTATTGAAAGCTCATACGGATCGTAGAGGCTCAGGGGTCTGAGCGAGTACATTACAATAAGGGCTGGCAGCTAGTGCTTTGGATCAGCCTAATGAAGCGACCTCAACCGGAATAGTGGAACGCCAGGAACGAGGAGACCAGAAAAGAATGGGCTGAGCTCAGCGCTGCGCACTGCAGATGTCATTGGTTTCGTTCGATGACTGCAGGCTCGACATGGCGCCAAAAAAGGATGAAAGACAAGGGCAAGGCTCAAAGGCAGCTGCCTGAAGGTGTCAGACTCAGGGGAATGAGGGCTGAATGGTCTTGGGGACAAGGGCCATGACAATTCGCAATGGAAATGAGAATTGCAGACGCTTCAGACTCTACCACCCCGTTCGTTTGCCACGAATTCGAAACCCTGACTTCACAAGCCATGACTCACCGTCTTGGGCATAAGCCAATAGGGCATGACCCACAAAAAGTAGCACGACGATTAGGCGCTTGAGCCAGGAGGGCGGCCAACCCCACATCGATATGCGCTGAAACTTCGTTTTTGGCTCAGGGCAAAGCTTGTGAGGGCGACTGGAACTCTGGGAAGGTCTACATTAAGAGTCGGTGAGCAACTTTGATAAGCGGGGCAAAAACACTACACAATCCTTGCCGATAAAAGTTGACCCTTTACGCATTCCATCCTCATCGCAGAGCCCCTTCGCAAGAGCGCAAATCTCTTCGTCTCGACAGCCACAGCCACCAGAAAATAACAACTAGCCAAAAGCTCTCGAAAGAAGGGGAGATTGGGTCGATATCGGAATGCACCAGTTTTCCAGGGTGTAGGTCTCGGGCGCTGCACTTGAAGAACGCCGGGAGGCAACAAACATTCCATTTCTCCCCCCTCCGCACGCTCCGCACGCACCGCTTCCGGGCTCAACCGGCTGAACCCGCGGATTGAACGCCTGAAAGGATGAGTCGGAGTACGCGCGCCGCGCGCCTCAGGGCTCCCTTTTGAAGGCGCCTACACTACTCGCCTTCAATTCGACATCACTTGACGAAGCAGATTACACTTGGCTTGCCAGGGAGGGTAATCAGAGAGCTCTTCCAGGTAGGAGCAGTCCCTTGGCAGTGGGAGGTTCTGGATTTGGGGCATTTAAAGTTTCGAGGTCGACGTTTGCTGGGTCACAATCCTGAGCGGTCTTGATTACTAAATTTAAGGCACCTTACTCAGAATTGAATCCAGGTTTGCACAGAAAGCCGAAAGCCCGGAACTGGTGGCTTCCAACTCCAACTCACTGACCCAATGCCTGCCAATTACGTCTCCCTGAGCCACACCCCACCGCAACAATAGGCTTGGAGCTGCGGACGCTCGAAGGCTACAAGACTAAAATTATGCCGCTGAGCCCTCATCGTCCTGAACAAGACGAAATCTGAAGATGCTGATTTCAGTTTGGAGCCCTCCCTTCCCTTCAAGGCCCAGGGGCTTCATGAAGAACATCCGCGCCATTCCTGCTAAAGGAGGCTGCAAAGGGCCCTAAAGCTGCTGCTGGAGTCCAAGACTCATCATCACAAGAAAGGCATGTTGACCACTGTGAGCGGGAGAAGATACGCCGTCTTCCGAAGCTCATGAAGCTTCATAGCAGCATCTTGAAGGTTCAGCCTTAGGGGCAAAGCCTGCCGAGCCGCCGCAAGTCCAAAGGGCTTCGATCCAAGATCCCTTCAAGACAATGGCTACCCCTGGACAGGAGGCGCTGCACTTCTGACTTTGGACTTTGCGCACGTCCTGGCACCGGCATTTGCCACGCCAGCATGACCTCGTGGGCCTACTTTAGGTTAGGATTTGGGACTGAAGGCTGAAGGTTTGGGGTCCTGGGTCCTAGATATCGCGATTGCATGACGGGGTTGAGAAACATCGTTGACCAGACGTTGCGAACGTGCTGGCGATCTGACTAGCGGGCGAAGTCGCAGCGGTCCAACAAGACAACACCATCTTGATACGCAAGAGTACGACCCACATCTGCATATCAAACTTAGCTTGGACAGGCTGTTCCCCGAAGGATCGAAGGAAAAGAAGAAAGAAAGGTGAGATCGAGGGGCACTCGGGCTGCTCTCGGTGGTTTGCACCGCATGCGGCGTGTTCACCTCCGTGGAGTGTTGCGGACATCAGAAACACTTTGCGTAGAGTGATGGAGTTTAGGCGTAGATGCCGTCAGGACTTCTAGCTGCAAGCTCCGAAACACTCGCAGAGCCCAAAGTTGGAGCTGAGGGCTGTTCAAATCCTGGTATGGACAAGGCATCAGGGTTGAGGGATTAAAGTCCAAGTCCAGTTGCTCATGGTCCTACTGTGCACGGCTTCCTTGTCTTCGCTCTTCTTCAGGGTATCTTGGATGTGAGGCGCCTTCAAGTTAGGACCATCCCCCCTCCCTTAACCATGGGGGGGGTTCTAATTGTAAATTACAATTTGGACCCCCTTGAAGTCACAACGCCTGATATTGTAAAAAACAACGTCTGGGCAGGCACAACGATATTGTAAAATCGTAGCTTCCGTGCGTTCCTCCGCACTATCGCAATAGTGGCGTGACTCTGCTTCTCGCTTGTTTGCGTTTAAGATCAAACTCGGGCCGGGAAGCATAAGGACTAACGGAAGAGGCAAAGCCCCAAAGCCAGAAACCCACAACACTCAAACTCCGATATCTTGAACCCCCATTCCCAAACCCTAACAAAGCCAGAAGCACTGAACGCAGAAGCCCGAACCCAGAAACCCCGAACAGAAACTCTGCAGCGCGAAACTTTAAACCCAGAAACCCTGCGGCCTCAAACCCGAAACCAGAAACCGCAGACCCACCCACACACCCCGATTTGAGAAAGCCTAATTCCAGAAACTCGGAACCCGGAAATTTCCGTAGCCCTGAAACCCTGAACCCTGAACCCCTGCACCCAAAACTCCCAAATCCGGAAAGCCAGACACCAGAAACCTTGAACCCTAAAACCCTGAGACACGAAAATCCAGAAAGCCAGACCCCAGAAACCTTGAACCCTAAACCCCCAAACCCCAACCCCCAAAATCCGGAAAGTCAGACGTGAGAATCCTTGAACCCGAAACCCCTAAACCCGGAGACCCCAAACTCCGGAAAGCCAGACACCAGAAACCTCGAACCCTGACCCCCCAAACTCCAAACCCAAAAATCCGCAAAGTCAGACACCAGAAACCTTGAACCTTAAACCCCAAAGCCCGCAAACTCCCAAATCCGGAAAGCCAGACACCAGAAACCTGGAACCCTGAACCCCTAAACCCTGGAAACCCCAAAATCCGGAAAACCAGACACCAGAAACCTTCAACCCTAAACCCCTAAACCCGTTTTGAAGTTGTGTCGGGAGGGACGCCGTTCGCAGGAGTGCTTTCTCTGTTACCCAGGGGAGGCGAAATGGTACCAGCCGGCTGCTCATCTTCTTCTGGGGAGACGCGGATGCACAGCTCTGTTTCTTTTTAACACGCACACGGGTCGGTTCGGACACGTCGTCGTCGAACAGGTGTGTCCTGTGCACATCATGCATACAGAAACTGCTTCCGCAAGACTTGCCGTAGCATGTCGGCCTCATCTGCGACAGCATCGGTGTTCCGGACTGATAGATACCTGCCCCCCCCCACACACACAGATGCAGGGATCCAGTCAATCAGGGTTCGTCTCGTCACGACATGACTAACAACATGGTAAATGCAGCTTGCAATGCTTGACGAGTAAGGCACATGAGCACAAAACCCCCTTGGTACCATTTCCCCGGGGGCCTGTCAAGCTCCTGGTTTCGGCGAGAGTTGAAAGTTTCCGTACTAGCAGGGATGGTTGGAGAAGCTTTGTATTTATGTTCTGGTATAGGGTTCGGAGTCTAGGGTGTCGGTTTCAGGAAAAACAGTCGGATTGGGGTACTGCTACTCTCCCGCACCGCTCTGTCGGAAGGGCCTGGCTCGTGGCTCGGCGGACGAAGCCGGGCTGTCCGTGTGCGTGTTAAAAAGAAACAGAGCTGTGCATCCGCGTCTCCCCAGAAGAAGATGAGCAGCCGGCTGGTACCATTTCCCCTCCCCTGGGTAACAGAGAAAGCACTCCTGCGAACGGCGTCCCTCCCGACACAACTTCAAAACGGGTTTAGGGGTTTAGGGTTGAAGGTTTCTGGTGTCTGGTTTTCCGGATTTTGGGGTTTCCAGGGTTTAGGGGTTCAGGGTTCCAGGTTTCTGGTGTCTGGCTTTCCGGATTTGGGAGTTTGCGGGCTTTGGGGTTTAAGGTTCAAGGTTTCTGGTGTCTGACTTTGCGGATTTTTGGGTTTGGAGTTTGGGGGGTCAGGGTTCGAGGTTTCTGGTGTCTGGCTTTCCGGAGTTTGGGGTCTCCGGGTTTAGGGGTTTAGGGTTCAAGGATTCTCATGTCTGGCTTTCCGGATTTTGGGGGTTGGGGTTTAGGGGTTTAGGGTTCAAGGTTTCTGGGGTCTGGCTTTCTGGATTTTCGTGTCTCAGGGTTTTAGGGTTCAAGGTTTCTGGTGTCTGGCTTTCCGGATTTGGGAGTTTTGGGTGCAGGGTTCAGGGTTTCAGGGCTACGGTCCTTCAAGGTTCATCCGCAAAAGCTCACACAAAACAAATTGATGAACTTCGGTCCCAGGGTTTAAGCGGCGTTAGGGTTTCAGGGTTGATAGATTTCGGGGCTCTGAGTTCCGGTTTTCTTTCAGGGATTGGCATACATACATATATATATATATATATATACATGGAATCTCTGGGTTCGGAGTTTCTCATGGCTTGCGGTTTCTGGGTTTCAAATTTCCGGGTTCAGAGTTTCTGGAAGTAGGCTTTCTCAAATCGGGGTGTGTGGGTGGGTCTGCGGTTTCTGGTTTCGGGTTTGAGGCCGCAGGGTTTCTGGGTTTAAAGGTTTAAAGTTTCGCGCTGGAGAGTTTCTGTTTGGGGTTTCTGGGTTCGGGCTTCTGCGTTCAGTGTTTCTGGCCTTGTTAGGGTTTGGGAATGGGGGTTCAAGATATCGGAGTTTGAGTGTTGTAGGTTTCTGGCTTTGGGGCTTTGCCTCTTCCGTTAGTCCTTATGCTTCCCGGCCCCGACTGTTCTGAAAGCTCCCCCGACCCCCTCCCCCCCTCTTGCCAACTGCCGCATGTCAGCAGCACCCCCCCCCCCAACTACTCATGTCAGCAAACGCAATATTGTAATCTATATTGTAAAATGGGGGGGTACCCCACACCTTATTTTACAATA